GGGGGCCAGCGGGAGGGGACAGGCTTTGGGCTGCAGCGGCTGCATGGGGTGAGGGAGTACTGTGATGCCAGGGGGCGGTGGGACCCCTACAGCCACCCCTTGCTGCGGGGTCCGGCCCTGTCAGACCAGGCAAACAGACTTTGCATATGTTAAAACTACGCACAGATCCGAACTTTCCTACAGCCACATGGCAGCGTCTGCAACTGCCTGGGGCTAGGTTAGCAGCGAAGCCCTGGGGAGCAGTGGGGAGCACAGCAGGGCATACGGGGACCCGGATGCACGTGCAGGTGCTGGGACCAGCTGGGTTGGCTAGGGCTGGGGGCCCGAGAGCCCCCAGTGCCCCCCGGTGCAGTGTGGCGGGGGAGCGGGGCAGGGACGACGGGATGGGATGGGACTCCTCTGAGCCCGGGCCAAGAGCAGGCGCTGGTGTCTCGGGGGGTCAGGAGCACCCATGCAGCTCCAGCGGCCGGAGAGCGACTCCAGCTCATGCTGCACATGGTGGGGCCTCTGCTCAGCTCCGGACATCGCAGCTCCATGCCACGACCGCTGCACAAGCAACGGGAGAGTACCAGGGCAGAGAGAGCCTGGAGTCAGTGGGGAGGGGGACAGGGAGCACCCCCCACCCACCCCAGGCTGGAGCTCATGCTGTTGTGGGATTGCTTCAATCCAGCACCCGACCCCCCACAGCTGCCTCCCACCTTCTGCCCCCTCCAAACCATCACGCTGCATCTCCACAAGCTAGGCCCACGGCCTCCAGAGACAGACGGCGCCGAGGCAGCAGCGAGGTGGGGCTGTCCGGGCCCATCCTGGCGAGGGGTGGCTGGGGTGCAGCACCGTGGGAAGCAGCCCCGGGCTGCTGGAGATGGGGAGAGGAGCGTCCGGTGAGGAAAGCGTGCTGGTGGCCTCTCTCTTCTCCCAGCACCTCCCCAGGGAGGCAGGGCACAAGCGGTGGGCGGTCACAGGGCACAGGCGCGTCCAGCCAAGCTCCGCGCAGGGGTAGCGGCACGGTGGGGCCAGGTGCCTGTCTTGGCACAGCCACCCTCCTGCCCCGTCCAGGGGCTGCAAGCAGCAGTGCTGGGGCTGGTGGCGGGGCTGGCCCTGCTGGGGACGGGCGGTGGCGGCAGCGCTGGGCTCTGGTGCTCAGTCCGCGGTACAGTGTATATATTTATATATAAACAAGGACAGCAGTGCTGTGATGTTGCAATGAGGAACAGCTGCTCTGGTGCTGGATGCTCCCGGAAGATCTGGTGCTGCAGTTCAAATGGAGAGATCAGGGGCACGGCCAAAGCCAGGTGAAGTTTCTGCACACTGGCTGCCGTCAGGCCTTTCCTCCTCCCCTCCAGGAGCACGGTGCAAAGGGGTGGCGGGGCTCTCAGCGTGCAGACAAACCTCTCTTGCGCACCGTGTTTCAGGAGTAGATGGTGATGACCTCCCGGCCCCCACCACGCACCAGGAGCACTCGGTCCAGGTGCTCCGTCAGCACCTCCAGGAACTCCATGTCTGCACGGCCGTCAAGGAGGACCAACACCAAGATGGAGCATGGGGACAGCCCCATGCCATCCCCGCCTGGCCCCATGCGCTGGGAGCTGAGCCTGCGGTATGACACCTCCGTACCAGAGGCGGGAGCTGGTGGGGTCAGGCCCGAGCCAAGGGGCCAGGGGAACCTGCCCGTGCTGGCGCCCCCTGACGGGGAATGCGGCCGGGCCCGCCCCCG